TGAGTAAGGGAAAATGATGAGAGATATTTTCCATCATGAAAACTTATAATAAGAGAAAAGTCCAGTATATAATCAAAAGCTGTTTCTCCTTTGTAAAGTATAATTGTTTATGCAGCATATTGGTTAAACTAGGGCAAGAGAGAGTAGAAATATTTTTTAAGTCATTTACTCTTCAAATGAGGTTCCTAAGTTCATATTTTCTAGCTCTTCTTGAGTATCCCTTTCTAAACTTTTTCTGTAGCCATACCCTAATGTAGTAGGGACTGTTCATTGCCTGTGGCCCCTGATTCCATGTTTTGTTTTGTTTCGCATGAAAGGCCGGTGCTTAGGGCCATGTGGTGACTAATCCTCTTCTTCCTACCTTTTATCAAATGCCTCAGTCATGTGACCAACAATAGCTGGGCTTATGATGACCATTGTAACTAGGCTGTCAACTTTTTGTCATTCTTTTTAATGTCTCCATAGAGCACATCATTCCATTGGGCAGCATGACAATTAACAGCATCTCAAAACTGACTCAGCTCAACCAGTCTTCCATGTATTCACTTCCTAATGCACCAACTCTGGCAGACCTGGAGGATGATACATACGAAGGTATCTGGAGGAACTTCTGCTTTGGGTTAGAAATGAACCTGCTTGCTTCCCTTTTATAATATTGAGGACCATGGGAAGAGGTTGTGGCACTGTATTATATTCCACTAAACCAAAACCCTTCCCACTCATAGCTCCTTAGAACCATGGAAATAAGGTTAAAACAGCAGCAGCAGCAACAGCCTATACCAACAAAGGAAATTTTAATGAAGCAAATCAAGGTTGGCATCTTTGTTTTGTTTCCTCATGGTTCAGTACCAAGTACACAGTAAGCACTTAATGAGTACATGCTGAGTGAGTGAATAAATGTTATAAATTAAGCTTCACCTAGTACTTAAGTATCAGGGGGGTTCAGGGAATATGACAGTCTAAATACAGCCCCTTTCCTCTCCATTCCTACCTTAAAAGCTCTTTTTTACTTCTAAGTGAAATGGCTCATAGGGTTATTAGCTGCTAAAGCCTCAAGTGAGGGCTTCTTCTATCAGAATTATCTAGCTGCTTATAACAGATACCCAGTTACAGTAACTAAATAGTGGTTAATTTCTCTCATGAAATCTGGAACTAGGTTAAAGTTGCTGCTTGAGAATGTGAAAGTTTCCCTCTCGCTTCCTGCAGCACCAGCCTTTGGTATGGTTTTCATCCTCATGGTTGAGTATTGTGGGCTCTACCTCCCAGTTCAAGTCTGTGTTTCTGACAGGAAGAGGAAGGGTTAAAAAAACAAAGAACAATGGCCAAAAAAAAAGCCCTTGGCAAAATCTCTCCTCATTTTATCTTGAAAACAGTTTTTCTCAGAAGTCTCTCCCAATAGCCATTGGTCAGAACAGAGTCAAAAAGCCACCTATATTCTGACAACTAGACCTGAAGAAGTCTTGGGAGATATTTTTATTTGTGCAGTATTACCTCCTCAAGCACAATTGGGGTTTACGAAAGAAAAGAAGAATGGATAGTGAGTAGACAGCTAGCGTCTAGGTCTTGGGGGTTTATTTAAGCTCTGGCAGAGGGAACTGATGTAAGGCTTTCTCCCTCCACTGGACAAACAAATGGAGAACAGTGCGACAGGAGTCCAGAGACAAAAATTGGAAAGTGATAAGTCCAAGAAAAAGCCTGTCACTCAAAGCTATGGAATCCCCAGCAGTAAGAAAAGTTCACATTGGTTTAATAAGTGTATGATATGGTTTCTCTAAAAAGCAAAGAAGTAGTTACACAGACTATGTCTTTCCTGCCCGTGAGTCTGGAAGAAAAGAAGTACTCTGTAGAGGGGCTTCAAGATAAGTACTGAGCCAGGGATAGGGACCATATTTCTCCTATATACTTACAGGTATAAAGACCACTTGGCCTTCTGGCACCTGCTGGGCTCATGCTTTCTGCAATAGTCTAACAACTAGATCTAAGTCTCATTAAAATGTAAATAGAAAAATACTGACTTTTCTCAGGGTACTCAGCAGACAATCGGAAGACATTAGAAGAAATATTAGAATATACAACCAGAGAACTAAAACTGCTAGAGCACACAGATGAAAATCTAAACAAAAATAAGCACAAGAACATTTGAAATTTTTAAGACAGCACAGAGACATAGATAAAAAAAATTACAAAGATTCTCAAACAATTGACTAAATGAAATGAAGAAAATACAAATATTATTGACACCTGACTTAGACAGAAAAATTATGTGCGATGAATATTATAGAACATAGGTAAGTAAATTTTAGAGAAGTGAATTTTAAGAAAAAAAAGTAGGAGAGTATGAGAAGTAGAAAATAAATCCAGACTCCTTTCATTGCAATTATAGGTGCCAAAGAAAGAAGAGATGGAAAGGCAATAAATAAATACTAACAAAAGAAAATTTCTCTGCAGATAGGAAAAACTCAACCTAAACCTAAATCAGAACAATAAAAAACCCCAAACATCTAAGCATATCCTGATAAGGAAAAAATGACAAGCTTTTAGTCAAAAAGAATAAATTATACAGGAGTAGTAATCAGACATCAGTGGGAATTAGAAGATGGTGAAAAACATTTCTAGATTACCGAGAGAAAAAGGAGTGAAAATCAAGAGTTCTATGTTCACAGACTAAATATACCTCAGGTTATAAGAAGGAAGTTGTAAGGGCTCAAAATGTGTTACATAAGAACTCTTAAGCATAGTGCAAAGAATATTCTAAAAGGTGCTATCCCATTTCAGTTTAATTCAAATGTGAAGAGAGAGGGCAGTTAAAATATTCTAGGTTAAATCCTATTCTGCCCCCTTCCCCCACCCCCCAAAAAAGGATAAATTTAAGTCCTAAATCTCAGTACCTTAGAATATGACCTTATTTCCAAATTGCAGACTTAATTAAAAGATGTGATCATACTGGAATAGGGTGAGCTTTATAAAAAGAAAATTTGGACACAAGCATATATTGGATGAATGCCATTTGAAGATGATGGCAGAGGTAGGGGCAATTCCTCTACAAGAAGTCCAAAAATTTCCAGTAAACAGCCAAAGGCTAGGAGAGAGGTATGGAAGAAATTCTTCTCCACAGCCCTCAGAGGAATATTCTTTGGACACTTTGATTTCAGACCATAAATTTCTGTTAAGCCACTTAGGGCTATTGTAACAAAGTACCAAAATGTCAAAACAGTGGTTTCAGTAGTCCTCATAATGGATAACTGAGAGAAAAAGGAAGGGGTAGCAAATGAAAGATCTTATTTTACTTTAGGAAAGAAGTACAACAACTTGCTGGGGAAAACAGCTTTGGTGTGCCAGTTTTCTATTCCTGTATAACGGATTGCTACAAATCTAATAGCTTAAAATTACACAAATTTATTATCAGTTTTATTTATTTGTTAGAAGTTTCTATGAATCAAGAATAAAACTGCAGGTCAGCTGGGTCCTCTTAAGGAGCTGACAACTGGCCAAGCAGAGAATGCAGCTATCTGAAGCTGAACCCTAGTGACTGAAATAATGTTGGCTGCGACTGATCTCATTGGAGGCACTGGGGTCTCTTCCAGGCTCACTGTGGTTGACTGCTTTTAGTTTCTTGCAATGTGGTACTTAAGTTCCTATTTTAATCCTGACTTTCAGCCAGGGTTCACTCCAAGCAAGTTAAGGCTGCCCTCAGATATAAGCCATATGTCCCTTTCCACATCATGGCAGCTTTTAAGCCAGCAGGAAAATTTCTTCCCAGTGTGCTGTGAACTTTCTTAATGTAGCCCAATCCAGGGAATGACTGCCCATCATATCCACAGGTCCTAAACCACCCTCAGAGGAAAGGATTATGTGAGATGTATATACCAGGAGGCAGTAATCTTGGGGATCATCCTAGAATTTTGTATATCCCATTTGGTTAGAGAAATGATGGTATATTATTTTCAAATAAAGACAGTCATGGATCTAATTATCAAAAAACAAAGGTAATCAGGTCTCAACCTAAAATACAGACAGATGGCTCTTGGAAAGTTCACATTTATTTGGGAATGAGTAATGGGGAATTCCAATGTGGGGTGCAGAGGCTGTGAAAAGCCGTAAGTGTACCCAGAGGGGTTGAGGTAAGGGCAGGCTTTTAAAGACCCAAAGGAGAAGTTTACCTGAAATAAGATTCTTTGGTATCCGGTCATTATAGCAGTTGGTATTAGCCCATTGGTGGAGACAGCCATTGCTAGGCAGTTGTCTTATCTGAATTTCAGTAGTCTTGAATAATTTCTTGGAATAAACCTTGATAACAGAAAATAAGTGTACAGAGAGCAAAGTATATGAGTTTGAGCTGCATCTAGGATGCGAAGGAATTCCTGATGGGCTTTAGGAAGTCCTTGTGATAGTTCTATTTCTGACACACAAGCATGAGTGAGGCCCACACTCTTTCAAGACCTGCTGGCTCTATTTTGTCTGGGGTACATAAGAATAAACTCATCATCTCAGTATTTTGAGACAGGATCTTGCTAAGTTGGCCATGTTGGCCTCAAACATGTCATCCTCCTAAAGTGATTATAGAGTTGTGCCACTACATCCCACTAAAATTTCCAGTCTAATAAGGGAAATGTTGAATGATAGGAGTTTAAAAAAGAAGAAGAAGAAGAAAAGAAAAGGAAGTGACTTAATAATTAAGATATATAACATTAAGATGAGAGGAAAAAATCAAACATTACATAAATTTTATGGGATTGAATCTCTTTTGAAAGATAGAGACTACTAAATTGATTAAAAAAAAAAAAAGCAAAAGCAAAACTTACCTGTATATTATCTTCCAGAAACATTCTTAAACTGATGAAGAGACTTCCTCTTCTGGTAATGCCAGATTATTCAGAGCAGCCTTCCTGCTGAAGACTTAAAAGCAGGACAAAATTTAACAATTGTTTTCCTAAAAGCATCAAAGAGCTAACAATATGCTAGGGTATGATATCAGATCAACATCCAGAAGAAGACAGAAATCCAGGGAAGATGATTGTGGAGTTGCTTTTGTCTAAGGTACACTGTCCTCAAAGGAGGAAGAAAGGCTGCTGAAAAGCTGAGAATTTGACTCATTTATGAGCAAGGGGAATAAAATGGATTCTAGGGCCTGGAAAAGATGGGACCATGCTCTTTGTAAAGGAGTAGTGAAAACCTGAACCCTAGGAGCAAGGATGAACCAGAACTAACTGTTACTCACATGGACTGAAGCTCAGTGTGAGTCATTTATGTGATCCAGAAAGTGTTAAATCCCAAAACTGAACATAGTTAATCCTAGGCAATTAATCTCAGAGAATGGCAGATGCAAATAAAAATTCACTCTAGAGAAATGTCCCAAAATTGTAATAATGGTAATGATTGCACAACTTTGTAAATATACTAAAAAACCACTGAATTATACAATTTAAATGAGTGAATGCTAAAATAGGTGAAATATATTGCAAAAAAAAAACTTTTTAATTTTTTTTATTTTTTAGTTGTAGGTAGACACAATAGTTTTATTTATTTATTTTTATGTGGTGCTGAGGATCGAACCCAGGGCCTCACACATGCGAGACAAGCGCTCTTCCACTGAGCCATAACCCCAGCCCCAAAAAACCCTTTTATATAAAGGGAAAAAATCAACCTAGAGGGAGTAACATTATCCTAGGCCTCAAATTGTTTTTGTAAATAACTTTTCAAAAAAATAGTTTCTACTAAAAATATTACTAGATACAAAACCCTGCTACAAGAACCATTACAAATTACAGGTCCCATTAAGAGATCCACCAGTATTCCCAGGTATAGGCCACACAACAAGATGCTAATGCATACATGGAGTTAAAACCAAACTAAAATTTAGGGGAGGAAGTGAAACAGTGGTACTGCAGATTTGAGGTGGAGGGTGGGGATTCAAATGGTGACGTTATGCTCTAAGGTAATGGCAGATAATACTCTACAATCCAGAAGAACATTTAAAACAATTACCTGAAAGGTCTGGAGAATAGCCAAAATCAGGCAAAGACTGGAGTGTAAAACTACACTTAGCAGAAGGGAACTTCACTGCAGGAATTTGCTCTTTTTACAGCTTTTCACCTAAGGGCAGACTACCCCACCCCCACCCCCTGTCCCAACTTTTAGCATCATGCAGGGCTGCTAAAATTTTGGCGGAATCACCAGGCTAGACTTTTAATTTCATCCAAGCAGGAGTAACAGAGGCCAAATTTCTCTTCCCACCTGGCACAGCAGTTAAAGGAAGGCCTAGACAAAATATACAAAGTGTTTTTTAGGACATTGCCATTAGGCAACAAAGAACAGTGAGCTATGAGCAACGGGAAACAATCATGGTGAGCCATATAATTTCCCAAGTTTACTTCCTTGAGAGTTCCCAGTCCACGGGATAGAAAGAAGAACCCAGGCAGGGACCATTGTTCTCCCCAAGTTGAGATGACAAAGTTGTGAGCCCAGATAGATTAAGGCAGCTAGAGTTCATAGGATTGAGTAACAGAGAGCTGATTAAAGAGAGAATTCCAGAATTCTATGAGGAGTTCCCTTGAGTTTTCAGCAAAGAACTGATAGACACATGTGATGAAGAAACTGCCCAAAGTCAATGACAAAAACCACTGAAGATAATTAGAGGGAACAATATCTAGTCCTCATAAAGGACCAAGAAGACTAAGCAAGCTGAAATGCCTCATGATTCACAAAGCATTAAAGTACATGGAAGGGCTTGCCTTAGAAAGGGGAATAATTAGCTATTGATAAACACTACATTGATACTGCCTGTCAAATCTAAGAGCAAAGCCCAAAGTATCTGTTTCCAAGTAACTATGTCTAAGAATAAAGCCCAAAGAGTATTTATGGAAATACAAAAATCATTAGCACCCCACAATGTAAAATTAACACTTTTTGGCTCCTAATCAAAGATGATCAGGCATGCAAAAAAAAAAAATACAACTATAATAAAGAAGAAAGTAGGTTAATCAAAACCAACCCTAAATTGACACACATTTTAGAATTAGCATGTATAGATATTAAAAGTTATTATAACTTTATTCTGTATGTCTTTGAAAGTACAGATTGGAAACTGTGTATTACAAGTTTAGCTTTTGGAGTTTAGAGTCTGAGATGAAAAATATATTGGATGAAATTAGCGGTGGCAAAAAGAAAAGATTGCAGAAGAATGGAGAACCCAGCAATAGGGACTATCCAAAGTAACAGAAAGGAAAAAAAGTTAGTAAAAAGAGCATCCGTGCACTGGGGAGTAACAAATGGTATAGTATATGTGTGATTAGAGTCTGTGAAAGAAGGGGTTGGGGTCAGAAAATAATAATACTTGAAGATATAATGACCCAAAGATCTACCAGTTTGATGGAATTATAAACTGATATATTCACTGAGCTCATTAGACCAGGAAAAAGAAACATGAAGTGATACCAAAAAACATCATAATTAAATTGCTCAAAATGAGGATGTATTAGTTTTTTTGTTGCTGTGAATAAAATACTTGATGAGAACAACTGAGAGGAGGAAAAGTTTATTTTGGCTCATGGTTTCAGAGGTTCGGTCCTTAGTTGGCTTATTCCATTGCTCTGGGCCTGAAATGAAGTCGTAACCTGGTGGCAGAGGAAAACAGCTCTTCTCCTGGCAGCCAAGAAGCAGAGAGAGGAGCCAGGGACAAGATACAGTCCTCAAGGGCACACCCCTAGTGACCTACTTCCTCCAGCATCACCTCGCCTAGCTATAGTTAACACCCAGTAGTTCATTCACATTATTAATTCATCAAATGGATTAATCAATTGATGAGGTTACAGCTCTCCTCATTTGATCATTTCCTAAAAGTCTTTCTGAACCTTGCTACATTGGGGACCAGGCATTCAACATGAACTAGGGGAGATTCCAGAGCCAAACCATAACAAGGAATAAAAAATAAAATCTTAAAAGCAACCAGAAGAAAAAGCCAGATTACATACAAGGAGCAAAGGATATATGTCTACTTAGAAATAATTCAAGAGAGATAAAATACTCAAGAAAAAAATGTTAAAACTAGAATTCTGTACCTATTGCAAATGTCTTCCAAAAGCAAGGACCTTTTATGAAAAGCAATCTGACAATGTCCATTCTATTACAAGAAACCTACTTTGCATAAGGAAAACACCAGAACATGTGCAGTCATAATTATTTTAGAATTCATAGCAGAATGATGATAAGGTGAATTCCTAACAATAGGAGAAATAGACTCCCACAAACCATCAAGCAGCCACTAAAAGAATGAATCGGTTAAAGGGTTTTCCATATGGTATTATTGTATAAAAAGCAAGATTCAGATAATGTGTATGATATCCTATTTTTACATAATAAACAATCCCTGATAAAAGAATAAAACAATGTCAGCATCAGGTCTTTCAACTTGTTCTGACTTTATGTGGTACCACTCCCAAATTCTCTAACAATGTCTATGGATAATGGGACAGCCCAGTCAGAAGGCCTAATCCATCAATGAGATCAGGAATTTATAGAATTTTTTGGAAAATACTACTTAATAGTATGTTTGAGATGAGTTTGTTTGTTTGCAGCCAGTGAGGACCAGCCAGAGAAGCCTCACTTTGACTCTCGCAGTGTGATATTTGAGCTGGATTCATGCAGTGGGAATGGGAAGGTTTGCCTTGTTTACAAAAGTGGGAAGCCAGGTAAGAATCACAATGGGATGCTGTAGTCTTCTAGTCTGGGTGTGATCTTGCTTAACTGCTTGTCAGCCATCACACAAAAGGCACATACTTCCCTGGCTTCTTGAAGTGCTTCTAGATTTTCTGTGTGCCAAGACTTAGAAAGCCCCTTTGGCCCTCTCTAGCACCCCCTGTAGGCTAATTTTTAAGTCTTCTTTAGCCATCTTCATATGTGAATTACTACAAAACAGTCAACAGATAATAGGTGAGATAAACTAAAAGAAATAGTCCTTCTGTTTATAGACCCCTCCCTGCAAGCTCATACTTTTAGTAAACATACAGGAAACACATTATCTTTGTTTCATACTTCTGTATCTAGGCCAGTTAATAATAATAAAAACCTGATTTATTAGACCTCAAAATTCCAGATGGGAAATCATGAGATGGGGGACCAGTAGTGGATAGTGAGGCTCTGTACCCTTGAGCAGTAACTGCTACCCCCACCCAAAGGCAGTTGAGACCTTGAGACTGAAACTGCAGAACTGGACAAAGGCAAGCCATTTTCAGTAGATGAGAGGAGAATGTACAGACACCAGGATTTACCTTTGGGGGAAGGAGAGATTATCTCCAACTTGAAGAATCTTTGCAAACAGATTTTGAGCTGCATCTTGAACTGTAGTTGGAATTAGATACTGCAGGGAGTGGCAAAAACCATGTCATGAAATTGTTATTCCAAGTTAATGCTCTACATGAACCATCTAGAGGATGTAGAGAGGAAACCTGAAGGCTAACTGCTCTCTCATATGCAGAGCTTGGAAAGCCAAGCAAAGAAATTGAGACATAACGTGGAAGACAGTGGTCTATCATTCTGGATTACTTAGACTGGAGAGATTCAAATGAAAATTTTTTTTATGATCATAAGCAGTTTTGAAAAAGGAAGAGACCAGATAATCTCTTAGAGAGATGTTATAGCTGTATAGACAACAGATGAACCAGTGAGCTAATAAGATTGGAAGATCAGAAACAGATGTAAGGCAGGAGCTGGTATGAAAATGCCCCTGTCACCCAGAACATCAGAGACTCTATTATAGTAGTTTTTCACAGCATTTCTGGCTCCCAAGAAAGACCTCCAAAAAAGCCTGAGCCATTCAGAGTTTGCCTCTATCAGGAAAGTTGAGACCACAGTGTGTGCCCGGCAGATAGAAAGAGGCTGATCAAGAATTTGTAAAAATGGCCATTGGAGAATGTGACTAGGAGGTTGGAAGAGGAAAAAGTGGAATTTTTACCTTATTTTATATCCTTTACTATTGAATTTTTTAAAATCATGAGTATATATTGACTAATTTATGGTTACAAGGAAATAAGTGTTAACTTACTTCCTTTGTCTACTATTTTAGCATCAGCCCAAGACACTGAGATCTGGTTTCTGGACAGAGCATTATACTGGCATTTTCTCACAGATACCTTTACTGCCTATTATCGCCTGCTTATCACCCACCTGGGCCTGCCCCAGTGGCAGTATGCTTTCACCAGATATGGCATTAGCCCACAGGCCAAGGTAAGGACTGGGAGGGGGAACACCTGTCATCTCAGAGTATGATATGTATCAGAATCTTCTGAGGAAATTATTATATTGCAGATTCTCAACTTCCACATTTAAGAGATCTGGGATAGAACCCAGGAAATGTGATTTTAAAGCAAGGCGTCTGATTATAGTGTTAAGTAGACAGTGTCACATAATATTGATCTAGTCAAGTGACTCCAACATAGCTGACCCTCAGAATTACCTGGGATGTTTCCATCTTTGATTGTTACTGGGGGCTGACATCTAATTGATTGTTTTGGATTGGCAAATATATGTACTCAAAAGAGTGCAAAGTAAATCAATTTTTCCTATTCTCCCAGTGTACTTCCACAGAGGCAGCCATGGATACCAGTTTATGTATGGTTCCAGAGATACTCATTGCATGTAACACATGCAAGCATATGATTTTTGGTTCCTTTTTGCTAAATCACAAGTATAATATACTATTCACTTGTTCTTTTCACTAAACAGTCCATCATCAGTTGAGGTAGACTGCCTTGTCCTGTCTAATGACTATCGAGTATTCCGTCAAATGGATTGACTCATTTATACTACACATTTGGGCACCATTTCAAACACACAGATGACAAGTAATACTGATACAATCCCTGGTTTGAAAACACCCAGTGTGGCAAGAAGAACTTTTGACTAGAATGAGCTGGTCTGGGCCCCTTGATGGTAGTTTCTCACAGCACTAAATTAGCAAGAAATTAGGGACTCATCTCTGGCACTATATTACTATGTTTATTGAGAAAGCTTCATTTTCCTCAAATATCCCATACTGACACCTTCCATCAGGTAAACATTGTGATTGGTTGTGATCAAAGAAAAGTCAATAAATGAGGATGCCCTTTGCCCTCAGCAGCTTAGAAAGCCAGTAAGGAAGAGAGCACTAACACATCTTCCATCAGGAAGGCTGCACCAGCCTCTTGTCTTACTTCCCCTGGGGGAATGGTGCTGGTGGGGACTGCTACTTCAAGGGCAGGTGGAAGGACACCGATCCCTAGGTCAAGAAGAAAACAGCATACTCAAGGTCTTAGTTTTCATACTACATTTATTTAGAGGTTATTAGGGATGCCTCATAAAACAGCATTGTGTCTTGCCAAGTTTTCATTTGGCATAAATGAAGATCTAACAGATTATTCAAGGCAGTTTTTCATAAAAACTTATATGAATATCCCTTATCTGAAATGCTTGGGATCAGACATGTGCTCAATTTGGCATTTTTTTTGGATTTAGATTTGTGCATGGATTTTACCAATTGATATGAGTTTCAGATTTTGTACTCTCGTGTCCTCAGCTTTCAAACCCTATGCCCCAACTAAAGAGCACAAAGAATAGCATTATTCCTTTGGATTGTGACCCTCTCTCCCAATTCTGCCTTCCAGCAATGGTTCAGCATGTATAAACCTATCACCTACAACACAGATCTGCTCACAGAAGAGACCGACTCCTTTGTGAACAAGTTGGATCCTAGCAAAGTGTTTAAGAGCAAGAACAAGCCCTTAATTCCAAAAAAGAAAGCGGCTGTGCAGCCTGCAGGTGGCCAGAAAGGGCCCTCGGGTCCTACTACCTCTAAACCCTCCTCTGGACCTGGAAACCCTGTCCGGAAGTGAGCACCCCCACTATCGGCTCTCCACCAGCCCCACAGCAGTGATTTCCATGCACACATGGCCCCAACCTCAGATTTTGCATGTAACTGTAGGCATCTTCCCAAGTGACCAAAATTTCAGCCATTTTATCCACCCACCACCCCAACATTAGCCAGGGGTTGGAAGGGCATCCTGAGTTTTTATCCCCAAGAGTTCTTCACAGTGGGTTTTTCCAGTCCCTGCCTCCAAAAGCTGTGAATTTAAGTTCTATAAGGGACCAGAGAGGTCTATTGAGCTTTCTTTTCTATCTGTACCCAACCCTCAATCTCTTAGCTAGAAAAGTCCTCCAAAAAACCCCTGGTTTTGACCCTTGAAGCATTAGAATTGCACTGTTCAATCTGTAGCAACTAGTCACAGGTGGCATAAAAACTTACATGAAAAATTCATATCCTCAGTAGCATTAGCCACATTTCAAGTATTCACATGGCTACTAGACTAAATATTGGACAGTAGAAAGATATGGAACATATTCTTTGCAGAAAGTTGTTTTGTATATAATTTTTTAAGTTTTCAGTGGATCTTTATTTATTTATATGTGGTGCTGAGGATCAAACCTAGGGCCTCATGCATGCCAGGCAAGTGCTCTACCATTGAGCCACGACTCCAGCCCTGCAGAAAGTTGTTTTGGACAACACTGCAGTAGAATATTTTCATACTCAGATTAGTTAATTTCTTTTGTTGATACCCAAACTTAATGGGTTGCAGTGTTTCATAAAAACTTTAGAAGATTCAATTGTATGTTCTTAATACATTTCACTCTGTTCATTTTTCTTTAGTTTCTTAAAGTTTGCTTTCCATTTTGTGATGTTTACACATTTGCCAAAAATTTGAGATGTATTCCTGTACTTTATTCTAACCTTTTAAAAGTAAAAACACCCAGGCATCATGTTGGAAAACTCTTCATAGAGTTTTAAAGAAACTAGTTAATATTAACAGCAGCTTTCTACCTGCTGTGACTTGTCTAGTCCCACCCTGGTTTGTCATTGGCCATACTTAGGATGGGAAAACCTTTAGAATATGATGGAATTCCAAGATTCCTTTGCAAGTTTCCTGTAATTCAGAAATCATTTTCCCCATAGACACGTAGGGGTATTAGACCTCTAGCCAGCCCACATGTGCCTAATATTTGACACAAGATAAACCTGAATTTACCTACTATATACATCTAATGGAATTTCTACACAGTTGTTCAGGCTTTCAATTAAGAATGTTTTCTAACTTTGCAGCCCTGACAGTGGGCACAAGCAAACTTTCACTCTACTTCTCAGCAGGGAAATCCTATCACCCACGCAGCCTCAGGATCCTTGAGTGGCTGTAGTTTTTTCCCTGAAATTCCAAAGGTTGGAAAATAACATTTCTGAATAGTGAGAGGCAGGACCTTCTACATCTGTACACTTCAGTCCTGACTGGCTCACTCATTCTTTCCCGACTTTTCTTCCATTATTGTCTAGACTGTCTTCTTTGTAGACCTCAATCTGCTAATCAGTCCAGGGCTTTGCTCTTCCATGGCCCACCAGGGAGCTTAAAGAAGTCCCCACAATTGCCCACCTGCACTTCTGACACCACTTTGAGTACTTATGAAGTTTTAAATTTTTGTTTTGATTGCTGATTATATAGTGATAGATATGAAATAAGAGGCTTTCAATTCCCCTCCATCTACTACTTCACACAGCCCCTGAGGAAAACAAGGTAAAGAGTTGGCCTTCAAGGATCATGGGTGCTTCACCACTGTTGTAATGGTTCTAAGTCTTAAAATACTAGTGTTCAAAAGTCTTTGGGAGAGCTAGAGACATGGCTTGGTGGTAGAGCACTTTCACAGCATGCACAAGGCCCTAGGCTCTATCCCCAACACTGCCTCCCCAAAAGAAAACACACAATAACAGCATATTCAGTTGCTTTAAATACACCAGCATGTCAGCTATTCTGGCTCACTTCTAATGGAAAATATTTAAAATAGCAGCACCTCTGGGCTTTGCAGTTCCATAGCTAACCATTTATATAATTCAGCCTGGACATGCAAATGTTTTTGTGTTTTTTAACAAGTACATGCCTGTGTCAAATTTTCCCTAATTTAAGTGTTTTACCCCTTTTAAATTAATTGTTTAGGTTATTACATTTTGAGCATTTATAAATGTGCAGCAATTCAAGGGAGGTCCAACAGCACCAGTCCAGCATTTGACTGCTTCTTCAAGACAAGGTTAGAAGGAAAATGAGAAGGCATGTCATTCTTCATTGCGACAGATGTCCTTCCTATAGTACCTGAGGAGCCCATTGGAGGACCAGTTCAGTTTGGGTCCAGTTCTAGATTCCATAAGTGAAACAACAGAGGAACCAGGAGAGCAATGGTGTCCTTCAAACCAGTGGCAATCAATGGGAGTCTTCCAAAGACTGTAGAAGGAAGGCAATTAGGATAAAGAAAAGCTCAAGACCTGCCTCAGAAGGAAGAGTGATGAAAAAGCAGAGCTGGTTACATCATATGCAGGACACAGTACAAAATGAAGATGTGAACCTCTTGTTCAAAAATCAGAAAAACTACCATTAAAGGCCCTAAAATGTGCTTTTCCTTTCTTCCATGGTTTCCTACAACTTATTATGGTGATGTTTTCTGTTTGCTCCTTAATACTGTTACAAGGAAAATTAAAATTTTTAAATTAGTATGCATTTTACCATTCTTTTTATATTGTGCATTTTAATTCCAAATATAAAAGCATTTACCCATGTAGAATCACCAAATTTACACAATTTGCTTTTCCCAAACTTATGTATATATATATACTATGTGCATATGTATTTTATTCTTACCAGAACAGTAGAAAAATCACACAAAACTCAATCAGTATTTCCCTTCTTGATATGTGCACGTTTTAACACACTCGACCTCTAGCTTACTGATGAATATAGGACTTAAAAAAGGAAGTATGGACTGCTTTATGTTTTCCTTTTCTTCTTTGTCATCCTTTTCAGCAAAAGTAGTTAGCTAAAGGGAAATAACATATGATAAAGAATGTGTATGATGGGGGTTCCTTGGTTATTTGTGTTTCTTAGCATACCACTGCCTTCTTTCTGTGTTTTAGCAAGTCTGGTTCAAATGGAAAGCATGACTTGTTGGAGCTCCCAGCACTCTGTATTCAGTTACATAAGTTTCACTGCTTTTATTCTGAGCTCTGCCACAGTATGGACCCTCAGGAATCTTGTGTTCTCAGAGCATTCTAAAGGCTATCTGTGCATGAGGCACTGAGGAACAGTGGACAAACACATCCCTTGTTTTTTGTTCCATTATTGCAGCAGACTTCACTTACAGAACACAAATTCAAGGATAAGTCAGGCAAGAGCAGAAAACCAAATGTGAGGTCCATCCAAGTGTGGGTTCTTGTGCAACTACACAGGTCACCTACCTGTGAAGCTGGCCCAATATGGAGATTGAATTTGTTAAATGAGGAAAACACACCCGGGAGGTTTATGTTTTGAAACTAAAGCAATTAAAATGGCAATGTACACTCTAAGAAATCAACTGCCCAGGAAAAAGACACTATGCTGAAGGTATAAAATAAAAATGAATGGCAGAATGCCTCAGTAAACATTGATGTAGTCAAAATCATTCATTCATTAAGTTCCCTGTCGTCATGCAGCTTGTAGGGAGGTAATCAAGCCATGAATAGAGATGAATAAGGTCAGCTTGTGCGTGACATCCCATAGAATCTATCCTTCAAAGCTATGCTCTCCAAACTTCCAAACATGTATCAGTGTCACTGGAGTCGTAGAAAGGAAGGTACCCAGATCCTACTCCACACCTACTAAATCAAAATTGCCAAGCAAGGTTCCCAGTTTCAGGATTTTTAATCAAGTGGACTAGTAACAATAGTGCTAAGTCTGGAGAATCCAGTAAGGAATATATAAAGAATGGAATAAAAGGGATCAATGATCCTTTTTAAGTTTCTGAATAATGTATTTTTCCCCTAAACTTTTTATTATAGAGAGTAGTAAACATTTACAAAGATTTACAAAATAGTATATTGAAACCCTGCATTCAAAACCTACTTTTCAACAATTTGAAATCATGACCATGTATCTACACCCCTATTTACTCATCCAATTATAATTAATTTTTAAATAATTCCAGTTTGTCAGTTTTCAATCTCTACTTTGTTTTAGATTTTAACAGTTGCTCTAGGGATTATAAATCCCTTTTTCTGTCCAATTCAGTAGCCACTTACAGGTTTCCTGGCAGCGTTATCTGTACATTATACTCTTGTCCTTTTCTTACAGTTTATCAGACCCTGGGTAGGGAAAACTCCACATTAGCTGTGCTCTTTTTTCTTGGGATCCTGTGATGAATTTTCTTTTTTGGCCTAAGCCAACCCTGGCTAGAAAACCCTGTTTTTCCATCTGAGCATTCTCTCTTTAACATGTAGCCTCCATAGTGTTAACTATGATTATTAAAAGAGCTCATACACAGGTAAAGTTAGTTAATTCAAAGAAGTTAGTACTTTCTTTCCCCCCGTTCTTTGTAATGTGATCCCAACTTTGTTTTCTATTTAACTTTCTTGTGACCTACCCAGCTCTACTCTACCTTTCCTTGCAAAACACTTGCTTATATTGTGTTCATGTATGAATATGCCACAATAGATTTCACCATTATGTGTAATTACAATGCAATTTTTAAAACTGAGGGGAAAAAAACACTACCTTGTTCTCCTGTGCCTAAACACCAATAGTTGTCCCCAAAGGTCTCCAGTCTACCTTCACCTCAGAGCACTGTAAATCCCCACCCCACAAGAAGGGCCCTCTTTGAGATGCAGTGCTTCATGTCAATACCGCTCAGTGAACTTCAGTCATCTTACCTGTCTCTTCCAATGGTTGTTGAGATGGAGACTTGTACTACTCTGGAAAGCCATCCTACTTGATATGGAGTCCCATCAACCATTAATAGATTAAACTTGAATCAGCCATTCAAATTTTTTTGCAAAAATCCAGAGCTGCCTTGTACTTAAGAACAATAGAAACAGACAACCAAGCAAAATTAATGGAGAAAACAGCCATAATAAAATGTATTACCAATGTTCTGAATATATTGATATCCAGATACTATCTTGTATACTACTTCTTGCCATTTTCACTAGCTGTGACTCAAAAATCTTTTTTTATCATACAGTGTATCTTCATTTGTGGTCTTGGAAATGGCATATTTAATTATATATCTGTATGCTCCCTAGCATCTAGCACCTAGGCCCTATCTAGTACCTACCTTTGATAGATGTAATGTAGCAAGCAGAATGAGGCCATCCACCCAGATGTTTTCAATATCCAACTCACATGGATAAAATAGGTTGTGAGCAGGCCTCCCAGACAACAGGGATGAGAGCAGTGAGGACTAGCCAAAGGGTGACCAAAGATACAAGCAGTCAGGCTGGTTTAATCTCACCCAATTGACTGTGCGCCACATATTTTGTGCCTAGAAGCATAGCTGACCATGACTATCCAACCTGCAGCTGTCTTAAGAATTCTAAAAGAATAAAAACTAACCAGCAACTAATGACACAAGCAGGATATATCACTTCCTTCTTGTGTCCTTAGGGAAAAGGTCTTCAGCACCTCTCATGCTCAATTTTTTCGTAAAATGTAAAATTAAAACAGAATGGCTATGAATTCTATTAAATAAATATATATCAAGTACTCTCACAGAGATACTTTCAATAACATTTAATTATTTTTTAAAATCAAACTTTGCTTTCCCCTCTGAATTGCCTAGCAAACAACTCATTTTTCTACCAAATAACCATCTTCTTTGATGTATTTTTATATCCTTACTTTGCAAAGTGAAGAAATTTCATGCCTTAAGCAATGCAGTGTTCTTTTTACTTGTCTCTGATAAAATTATTTCTGATCAAAACAAAACCAGAAATGGCTTCAGAATGGTTGATAAACTAAAATTTTAATTTTAATTGGTAACTTCCTCACTTGGCTCCCGGTAAGTTCCCGGCTTTTTCCCCAGCCCTGCAGAGTTGCCTGTATAACAGGTCCTCCATGTGTATTTGCTGTGGTTGTATAGCTTCCTGTGGCTGTCATAACAAATTGCTAGGGCATACCCAATCAATGGTGATCTCAGATCAAGGTCCTCAACTGAATCTCATCTGCAAACTCATCTCCCTTACAAGGTAACATTTACAGACTTCAGGAATTAGGACCTTTGGGTGGCCATTGTTAAGCATACTACAGTGGCATTTGGTGGTATACCATCTCAGGGCTGTGAACACAAACAGTGAGTTTGGGAGCTACAGACAATGGAGCCCACCAAAAAACAGTGGCTAGAAACCAAGTCTTCTATTCCTGGCTCCTGCTCTTCTGCATACATTCATTAATGGACCTTGGAAGAAAAATAAAGTAGGTCTTCAGCCCTTGAAGCCCCTGTGAACCTTACTCTCCATCTCCAAATTAATTCCTTATATTTTTAAAACAGAAAGCAAAAGAGAGATTCCAAAGGAATCAAATCCCAGGAGTATTCAACAACAAAAATACTGTTTGCTTTTTTAAATTTTTATTTTACCAGCATCCATATGGAGGCAAGGTGAAAGAATATCTATACTAATGACCAGAAAAATTAGCAACAGCATCTTGTAAGGGTAAGGTACCGTTTGCTTTGATGCCGCTCAAAGGTCTTTTAAGGGAACTTAATATCCTGGATTAAAACCAACAGAGGCAGCCAGACTGAGTGACAAGAGGAGAGAGGAAATAAGCAAAGGAAAATATCCTCCACTTTCAATAAAAACTACCAAACTATCAAGTTTAAAAATACAGTCTGATTTTTCATCCAGGCTCATGTATGACCTTTTTATTTTTTATATGGCTGTATTCCCTCAGTAGAACTGAACAATCCAGTGGGAAGAGAAATGATCTAGAACAGAAGATTCTAGAGCTACCCCACAAGCAGGGCTCACAAGGACTCTCCCTGGTGCATTCTGAATACCCTGTGACACTGACCAATGACACCTCTGGGTTCACTTCCTGTAGCATCTCTGTCGTGCCACTGAGTAGCACTTCTCTGGGTGAAGGAAAGAGAGGCACTGGCAAGAGGTGGTGTCTCAGACCACTCCTGTGTTCCTCCCATATTAGGGGGCTTGAAAAATGTTAAGTAATGAACTCATCTTTTTCTTCTGGATTTCAAAAGGCAGGGAAAAGATTGGCATCATTGACTATATTGAGGAAGGCTTTAAACAAACATGTCCTAGTTGATCAGTAACTTGATGATATGAAAGTTACCAATATCAGGATGGAACTGAGACTATCATGGCAAATGAAATAAGCCAATCCCCCCAAAACCAAAGGCCGAATGTTCTAATATGTGGATCCTGACTCACAATAAGCCAGAGGGAGGGAGGAGTGGAAGTTCACTGGATTGGATGGGGGTGGGGAGTAGGGGGGAAGGATGGGGAATGGGATTGGGAAAGAGTAGAATGAATTGGACATTAACTTTCCTATGTTCATATATGAATACAGGACCAGTGTAACTCCACATCATGTACAACCACAAAAATAGGAAGTTATACTCCATGTATGTATGTCAAAATTCATTTTACTGTCAAGTATAACTAAAAAGAATAAAAATTTTTTAAAAAGATAGTTACCGATATCAAAATAAAGTCACTTTACATCTATTTGGAGCCCAAAGGCCATGAAGGAGGGGCATTTGCACATTATGCCTATACAAAAAAAAAAAAAAGGAAAAAACCCACAGGAAATTCTTTCTAAGCCACACTTTGCTCCATGAAACACACACAAGGACAGATAGCCGTACAAAGACAGCTATCAACCAGCATAAGAACACCTGCCTAACAGCCTCCACTAATGAACTGTCAACGCCTGTGATAAGACTCTGTAACCAGTACATGTACTTTTCCCTGCCGTCTTTAAGAGCTTCCTGTTGCCCCAACTTCCTCAAATGGGCCTAGCAGTGCACCATAGCTCACCTTGGCACCATATCCTAGATTGCAGTACCCTTGCTACTCCTAAATTAGCTGTCCTGGAGATCCAGTCCTCTATTGTTTATTTTAGATAGACAAAAGTGATTAATAACTAGTTCTGTATTGGCAAATATTTGGCTTTCCCAAGATCTCAAAAATACCATCTTTAATCTCTGACCCCTACTCCAGGGAAGAAAAAAGGGGAAAAAAACACCTTGTGACTCAGTGGCTTCCACAGTCATCTTCACATTAGAACCCAGGGGAAGGAGAAGAGACTTTTTAAACATTCCAAAATTCAGGCCACAATCCAAACCAACTATATATCAATCTCTGGTGGAGGGACATAAATGGAAGTTCTCTATGTACCCAGGGGAGTCCAATCTGGAGACGAGGGTGGCAGCCTCTGCCCTATGTTACTTCCATTCTACAGCGAGTATTTTCAAAATGCCATTCCCAATAAAAGAGACCCTCTTCACTAGCTGTAAGCAAGAAATTAGTTAACATTGTTTGCTTGTTAGAAGTTTTAATTCCTAAACTTAATGTTAGATTCATTCCTTCTGAATGTGACCTTCTAAAGCAACAACTCAGAATGACAAGGGCCCCCAAAAGAGCATCAAAGTATTTGTTCACTAATAGGAAATGCAAAGTGACAAAAATGCACTTCCTTCTGTTTATACATCACTATCCCATGTGATAGTTTTCCATGTTTGTATTCAGTACCAAGCTAACAAGCAAATGTCCTCATAAACCACTAAATCAAGTGTGGAATATTACACATTATTTAGGACCCTAAGGGAAATTAATATTAACAACCGTGTATCCTTTTCAACAAGGTGATTAAATAAACTCAATGGTCTATATTCTACAAACTTAACTTACAGTTCCAGGCTCTCCTTGGGTGCTTTCATCCACCAGGAATCATTTCACTAATCTCAGCTTGAAAAAGCTGTCTATCAGTGGTGACACTCACAGGAGCCTATGGTGTGAATATGTTATTTTGAATATGTTAGGCAATACTACTGCATGTTATCTATAAATCACATATTCCAGATGTAAAGGCACAGATGTTTTGAAGGTGAAGCAAAGATGGAATAATATTCCAACCTCTCAAAACACCAACTGCAATGGCTTATCTTTCCCTGGTTTTGGAGTCAGAGGTTCTTCATAGGGAACCATGTGACCCTGGGCCAAGGAGCTCCTGTTGAGGTCTCTGTCACTTCCTGGGTACCAGGTCCCAAGTGTGTCCTGTAATTGCTGAGAGCCCTTCACAGTGCCTTCCTCTCTGGACACCTTAGGTCTTTAAAACCTTGAAAGCCAAGTTCTAAATGTAAAATTCTGTTCTCTATAGATAGAGCTTTAAACTTTATTTTGGTGGTGACTTAGGTAAATTTTCAGGCACTTTTTTTTTAACATAAAAAAGGCAACAAAGTGAGTTGCAGAAGAGTTCAGATGTGTAAAAAGCCACTCAACTGTGCTCTTGCATCAAAACCAACCCTCAAACCTCACAGATAAGGTGGTACATATTAGGTTAATAGCAGATAATACATCCTGCAACAAGGACTATGCCTGCTCAGGAATGTCCAAGAGCACATCACTGGTGCTACTCACTCTGTCAATGAAATGTCAGCCAAAGGGCCTGAAGTCATTCCAAGCAAGGGTTCTGATGAAACCGAAAAGAGTCAAGCCTTCATAAGGTCCTAAACCCAAGACAAAAAAAGTTTCTCATTTTGGCATTAAACTCTATTTATTTAGTATTTGAAACATGGTGTACATTTATGAATTTGTATAAACATTTAGTACATCTAAAATCCACAACTGGTAAACAATCTGTGCTTTCTTTTGTGTTCAAGGTTGGAGTTTAACATCTGGATATTTTGGTGTTGTGGAGATCCAGTCTGTGAATCTAATCAGATTGCCTCATATTACCATAACAACTGTGACAGGAGTGATTTGTTCCTTAAAAGGGCTGCTGCTTGCCCAGAAAAGGTGTCACGCTTTGGAACTAATAAACCAAGTGTTCAGGAAACAAGAGAAACATGGCTGACATGAGGAGGAAAGTTCGTGCAGGAGATTCCTGGAAATCCACGTCAATACACAACAGGCAACTGAAGCCAAGTGGTGACACCTAGTCTCCCCTGCTTCCCCACCAGAGGGGTTCTGCACAGCAGGAGCTGGTCCTCTCTCTGCTCAGAGGGTGCCCCAAGAACGTCACAGCTGCAGCTCGGAGGTGCCAACCAGGCCCAGGGCTCTGGCTTCTTCTGGAGTCAGGCCACTCTTCAGGGTCCTTCGCACTGCAGTGATCACAGCCAGAGACACAAGGAGAGAAGGAGGTATTATGAGCAAGGCATGCAGCAGTCAGTACACCAGCCTCCCCTCCCCAAGGACCCTCAGGAATGCTGCAATACACCCTGCCCAGGGTAGAAAAGATCTTGGGAATACAACAGGGTGAGCTGAAGCTGATACTGTCCAGAAGGGAAAGGGGCATGGACTGGGGCTAATAAAGAGGGGACAAAGGAGGAGGCTTCTCTTCACATGGGTTTCTGAGAAACAGGTGCAAACTACACAAGTGCTCATGGCAAGTGAGAGCTCATTCTCTACCCAGCACACAAAGTGTTAACAGAGCTGGAAAAGTAATCACGGAGCCTGGGAACGCAGGCACTTCAATGACAGAAATTAAGTAAAATAGTGCACAGTGAGGGGGTGAGCAAACTTCAACAACCCTATGGGTCTGCAGAAGGAGCAAGGATAGCTAGGGACACAATGGAGAACTCATGGCTCCATGCAGCCAGGTGTTAAAAGACCCAGGGCAGCAGACAGGATGAGTTTCTCTATGAGTGTTATGGGTCTCAGTCTCAATTTATCAAAGGACCCTTGGGGACAATGATAAAAGTGATCAGCAATTCCTTATGGAATGGATGCCAAGGAGCAAAACCACAGAAGAAAAACCACCAAACTTCTGGGTGGGTTTGGGGATGTTTTCTACAAAATAACACAAAGCTCAAGAGGATAGTGACCACACCTTCATCAGTGCTCATAACTGGAAATTGGATCATTGCTTACATTTAACTGACAGACTTTGTGTTTATCTTGGCAATATGGTTTTTCCCATTGTTTGATCAGTTTGGATGTTGGTTAAATAAAGGCTGGATCAGGGTGAATGAGAAAGCAGCTGCCCCTCTCTAGATAAATCCTTTCATTTGACAGATCAACCAATTACATTACCCTTAATTTACAAATCACATTTGGCCTGCTCTGTATTTCTTTTAAGGTTATACAGAGTTCAGGGTATTTATTCTATTTTCGAAAGAGTTGTGTCATGGATCTACCTTCCATTCTAAATCCCAAGTCAGCCATTCCCTGAGATGAAAACAGGCTTTTAATCAAAGTACAAAGATCAAGCTCACCCTTAGTCTCTTTCCCTTTCTCCTGCCAGACCCAATTCCATCATCCTTTTCCAGAAGCCAGGGGCTCACCTCATGGGAATGCAGGCAACACCCCCAATCCCTACCTCATCAACACATGGACAAAAGCTCATTGAGTTGACAACAAAAAGAACTGAAAGACCTAGGCTCATGGTGGAATGAACAGAGACTAACACCTATTAATAAATGTCTTTGAATAGGAGCCAGAATATAATGCATTGATTAGTCAACAAATCATTTATAGCAAGTCTATCAGGTGATCAACATTTAAAGAATTGAAAGTTTCATGGAAATCTCAGACATTAAATCTGGATTCCTTAAGAATGGTGAGGGGTACCCCCAAATCATACCACTCTTATTTCCAAACCTAGCTTTGGGCCCCAGACCTATCTATCTGCAGCATCTCCTGTACACGCTCACCCTCCCCAAACTGGCCCCTTAGACTCCCAACTTAACCAGATCAAATGTTTGGCTCCAGAGCCTTGACCGCAGACAGACTGCACATAACTGAGTAATGGAATTTGTTCTGTGGGGCAGCAATAAAAACACTAGTTTGTAATAACCGCCTATGTGCTTTAAACAAAGTGTTTGTTAAAGAAAGATCATTTTTAATAGAAGAAAATAAGATAAAAATCTCTCCCCTTCTCAACAAGGAAAGACAGCTAAGACTACTTTATCAAGATTCAAAATACTGCCTGAGGAAGTGCATGCTGTACTAGCAGGCATTTCAAATTCCATTAACCATAGAAGGCAGCATAGACACGGCCTGGAAACTGCCATCTCTGTGTATGTAGGAACATATTCTAGGGTGAAAGACTATAGAGGGCCCCACAGACTGATAGGAATTTCATCCATGGAAGGTGTTTGAAAATGTTTCTTAAATGCTTCTGTTCACACATTTGCTCTAGTCCTGTAGCTGATGTTCAGTTCATATAAAACCCTGCATAAGGACTCTGACGCCTTTAGCTCATGTAATAATCTAATAGACACAGGCCTTGGGCTGGCCTATATGCAGTATAATCAGGGACAGATCAAAGCTAAATGGTGCTGCCTCAGCCTCTCCATCTCACTGCACAGAGGCTGTGCTTGCCCCTGTGGGCTCCCACTCAGTTTTGATGCTTCAGACCACGAGGGATCCTCTCCCCCCTCCCTCACCCTCTGACAGGGGTCCAAGGGTCCTCTGTCATGGGGGAAAGCCAGCATGGCTTAGTTCCCTTTGATTGCCAAATGACTTCCCCCCAAAATGAGTAGTCATAGAAAAACATGCCCCATTAATGGAATCTTACTTTCTGTGGACCTTCACATCAATACCAATAAAGCTCATACAAGAACCCGAGTACTGACCCCTCTTTGGTGTAACATAAAAGTACCGGAGTACTGACCCCTCCCCTTTGTTAAAGAGTCAAAGTTAGTTCACTTCACCACTTGAAAAGATGAAAGTAATCAGTTGAAATCAGTTTTGTGCCCTGATTCAAGCCATGCCCGTCTGTCATTCATTATTCATCCATCATTATGGTTAGTCTGTTCATCATTCAGGAAATATTCCCGAGCATCTTCCCTGAGCCAAGTGCTTGCAAATGGAGGATCCAGGTCATGTTCTGACAGGGAAGGAGGATAAGGAGAAACACTCAGGGCAGCAGAATGTATCCAGGTTGGGAGTTGACTCTCAAAGTTTCCCAAAAGCAAAACAGAGCTCAGGGAATAAGAAAACAAGGGTGCTTACAAGTAGGCTGCAGCATGTGGAACTGCACAAACTAAACCTCTATAATTTTTCCGTCAAATAGAGGTTATTGTCAAGTGAGCATATTGGGTCTTGCTCCATTCCCTATTTCTGCATCCCATTGAATGCTCTCCCATGTGACTGGCTCCCATCCCTGAAGTTGCTTTAACAGCAGACTGGATGTTTATCTTTGTCTGCTTCAAGGCTCTTCCACACACAGTGTGGGTCTCTTGGCTGGCACCAACAGCAACCCTGTGCCCCAGACACTTGTGACAGCTGTCTCAGTGCCATGGTGATGGGGGAGGGGTTCTGAAGCAGGGCACCTCTGCAGTCAACATGCAGCACAGGACTATGGAGAATCAGGTGAAAAACAAGTTCTCTCTCCTCCTCCACCCTTAGAGATCAGGAAGTTTTTTAATCCTACAAAATGGTAACTCTTGGTTAAAACAAGTTGAATCAGAGCCATGGGGACAGCAGTTGTCATTTACTGAGTGTACAGAGGAATCTGATCACCTACACAGTAAGTGTGGAGGGGATTTTAGGCTGGACATTCGGATCACAGCCACACTGGAGACAGCTGTGCCCTGATGAACGCTGGCAGGATGCTTTCTCACAATCTTTCATATTGATGAGGAGCTGACCATTTTAGTTCCAAATGACAGTTTATTTCTGATCTTTCACCTTAAGATCACTGACAGTTTTGTTTTTTTTTTTTTGCATATGATGAACAGGATTTGAAAATAAGTTTTTAACCCTTAAAATTCTAAAGATTTTATACTATCCTGGGAGCGGTGTGCCTAGGATCATAGGTACTGTATAGAAGTTTAAGATGCCTTAAATGGTTGGGCACAGTGATGCATCCCTGTAATCTCAGCTACTTGGTAGGCTGAGACAGGAGGATCTCTTTCTAGCCCCCATATAAAAGAGAACACCGACCTTTGACTTTCTGGATCTGGCTTATTTCCCTTAGCATGTTCTCCTCCAGTTCCATACATGTACTAACAAATGACAGCATTCTTATTTATGGCTAAGTGAAATTCCATTATGTATACATACACATTTTCTTTACCCATTCTTGTGTTGATACCTGGGCTGGTTCCATAACTTGGCTATTGTGAACTGCACTTCTTTAAACGTTATAATGCGTACGTCACTATAGCATGCTGATTCTAGATCTCTTGGATAAATACCAATGAGTAGGATAACTGGATCACATGGTGGTTCCATTTCTAATCTTTCGAGTAATCTCCATACTGCTCTTCAAAGTGGTTGTACTAATCTGAAGCCTCACCAATAAGGCATGAGTGTACTTTTTTCATGTATGCTTATAAGCATTTATTTCTATCCTTGATTGCCATTCTAACTGGAGACGAAATATCAGTGTAGTTTTGATTTGCATTTCCCTGGTTAAGGATATTGAACATTTTTCACGTATTTGTTGGTCATCTACATTTCTTTTGAGAAGTGTCTATTTAGATCTTTTGCCCATTTGTTGACTGGGTGATTTTTTTTTGGTTTTAAACTTTCTTTATTCAGAATATTAATTCCCTGTTGGAAGAACTGGCAAAGATTTTCTTCCATCCTATAGATTACTTTTTCAAGCTCTTGTTTCCTTTACTGTGCAGAAGCTTTTTGCCTTAAAGCATACTGTTCATTGTTCCTCAGTTTTATTTCTTGAGCCTGCACCAGTATGTTGGTGTTTTTCCTTATTTTTCTTCCAACAGTTGCAGTGTTTCTAACTTCTAGGCCTTTGATTTTTGTGCAAGGTGAGAGGGGGATTGTTTTAGTCAGCTTTTTCACTGCTGTGACCAAAAGAACTGACGAGAACAATTTTAGAAGAGGAAGTTTATTCAGCACTTATGGTTTCAGGGTATCAGTTCACAACTGGCCGACTCCATTGCTCTGAGCTTGAAGGCAGGCAGAAATCACTGCAGAAGGGTGTGGCAGAGGAAAGTAGTTCAGGAGATGTTAATCAGAAAGCAGAAAGAGACGCCTCTCATCACATTCAAAATATATACCCTAAAGGCCTACCCGCAATGATCTGACTACTCCAGCTACACCCCACCTACAGTGACCATGCAGTTAATCCCTATCAGCAGATAAATACACTAATCAGGTTAGGCCCTCATAACCCAATCATTTTACCTGT